CTCTCTGTATTCAAAGATAACATAGTGCACACGTCTAAATCGTAATTCTTCGTGATATTCATATGACAGCGAAACTGATTTCCCTGGAATAGCCAGATATTTAGCAGGTTATGAGCTCCTTTGCAGGTGAGTGTCAGGGAATAAGTTGTGGTTTTACCATCTTCAATATCTTTTCTAGTCACGCACTAGATTTTGAACCACCCATTTTGGTCTTCATAGTCATCTACACTTGAATTAATATCTAACTGTTCAAGGTTAATCCAATCGCGATGCCAGTATGATAATTAGGAGTATTCCAATTAATGTGCTAACTGAGAAGTCTCGAAATAATACAATTTATGTAGAACTATAATTTCGGTCTATTTTTGACTTGATAAATGATGAATTTCACTTGCCTTAGTTAGCACTGTTACAAATTACCAAGTTAGGCTGATTAAACATTCATCCAGGTTGTCAGCTCCAAATACGTCACGCAACCAATAGACTGCAATAAACACCATGTAACACGCATAAATATTACAAAAATTAACATGTGACGGGAAAATACTGCGATTAGCCGATGAAAAACGACGTCAGACAACATGTAACACATAAGCAAGAGTCGATGACATGACTTTTCGACCATGCCGAACGAATTATATTTGGTGATCGTAATACGCGCGCAATCAAGTTCTAAGGGAGTGTCAATCGGTACAAATTACACAAATATCTACAAATAGACTGCTATTGAAGCTAAAAAACCTTGGCATTGTCGGTCCTCCCATAAAATGGCTTAAAGATTTCCTAGTGGGTCATAAACAGAAAGTTCTTCCTGGAGTACCTCAGGGTTATGTCCTAGGTCTTTTGCTCCTCATACTGTATGTAAATGACCTTCCAAGTACAGCTGACGATGTAAAAATCTGGCGACAAATGACAGAAGACGCAGATTTAACTGGTTAAAAGAGTGGCTTGCTTCTTTTTTTGTGTTTCACTCAAATTAATAGTTAACTGTGGTTTTGCCTCAGCTCACTATCGGCTTTTTTATAGTTTTCACGTAAAGGCTAGCTTTAGCTTATCGTTAACTGTTTTTATACATTTTTGCCAGTTTTTGTTTACTGTGTGTTTTTTTAACGGTCCTAAATTTACTGCTTGTATTTTTAAGACAGTCTAAATCACTAGCCATGAAAAATTCATGCAAAAGACCTGATTGCTGTTTTGCCGTTACATCTGGCATGCAATGTGACAACTGCAAAGGTTGGTTCCACGAGGCATGTACAGACCTAACAGCAGCAACCTATAGCAGACTCAGCAAGTCCGATCGTAGGTGGGTATGTGTTACCTGCAACACCGATACGGCAGATATGCTGGGTACTATCATTACTTTACTGACAGGTCTGAGAGATAAGTTGTCTAAGAATTCGGTAAGTGATAGCATCATGACGGGTAACAAAGCTGGAACGCATAGGGCAAATAAGAAAAAGGATACTGACAGGTCGGTTATCGACGGTGCTGTTAACAGCACGAGTGATGATGTGCTGAAACTCAGCACCATCTTAACAACGGCTGTCATCGACTCCCTCAGTAAACTTGGGTCCCCCGGGAAACGGTCCTTGAATGAGACAGTGGTTGCCAAAAATCCTGTAGGTGGTTGGACTCACGTTAATAGGAGTAATAAAGCCGAAGCGTCCCCGCCGAAACTGAACGTCCCAAGTATCGTACGGAAATCAATTGATGCTTTGGCTGCACAGTCTACACCCAAGATTGTCCGCCCGGTCATCACTGAACCCAGGAATCGAAAACGCTCCTCGACATCCAAACAACAAGATACCAAACCTAGACGCCCTGGGAAACCTGGGAAATCAATTACGGTTCGTGACGACTCTGTCATAATCGTGAACCTTATTGACCACCCCGACCTTCCTCTCAGTTTGCAGGACAAAAACGATAGGATGCTCTGGGGAGAATTAAACAAGAGGCTTGAACTCCCTAGAATAGAGCCTTTGACCGTCACACGGCTCACTCGGGGGAAAGACTCTAACCACATAAACCACCCAAAGCTGCTTTGTGTTACACTTAAGAATGCCTCCGACGTAGAGGACGTCCTGCTAGCCAGTCACTTACTGAAGTTCGATGGGAACGTAAGAATACTGCCCGACATACCGTATTCTGAACGAAATCTCATCCGGAACATCCCTAAGGAATCTCGCGAGGCGTTTTTCCGTGGACGAAATATCATTGTGCAAGGTGTGCCGGAAAACATGGACTCAACTCAAGCAAACTCTGATATTCGGGAATGGAAATTCATCAAGCATTCCTTAAAACTCAAGAACATATTGACCCAACAGGTAATGCGACTAGCCAAGAGAGATGGAGACTCAAGGACCCGGCTGTTGAAGATAACCTTCCCCTCCTCCCACATGGCGGCTGCAACTCTGGAAGCATTTCGTGCCAATAGACGTCGGTTGCCAATTGGCATCCATATGCATCCGGATAGGCCACACGACAGCAGGATCAAGCGCAAACGAAAGCTGGAGCTGAAAATTCCACCCGTGGACTGTCTTGATCATAAAAAAACGTGTAAAGGACAGGGACTACCAACTCGGTAAACATCGTATAGGTAGGCTACCTGTCCACTCACACACGGCTCATACAGACAAACAGGAAGAAGCTCATGCGTTCCTAATTGAAGGCATAAGCTGCCTATACACGAACGCCGCGAGCTTGCCAAACAAAATGGATGAGCTACGTGAACTAAGCAACGCTAATGATGCCCATCTGATAGGAATATCCGAAACTTGGATAACGTCTCAGTTTACGGACCAGGAGTTAGCAATAACTGGTATGTCTTTATTTCGCAACGACAGAAAAACAGGAATGGGGGTGGGGTAGAACTATACATACGGTCATGCCTGGATGCGCACCAACTTCACAACCAAGAGTTTCACAATCTTGATGAGTCAGTATGGTGCTCAGTAAGATTGTCTACCACCTCGAGGTGTTTAGTTGGGGTCATTTACAGGAAGCCCACTGCCGACATCGAGTATGACAAACGTCTGCTGGAAGGATTAACTCGCTCTACGCGTCTCGGATTCTCTCATATCCTGATTCTAGAGGACTTCAATCTCCCTAGAATCAACTTCGTGGAACATACATACATTGGTGGTACCAACTCTACTGAAGCTCTGTTCTTCAACCTTATCGGCGACCTGGGATTATTCGAAAATGTGAAGTCGGCAACCCGTTGGAGAAACAGTCAGACGCCTAGTTGATGACCTCTCAATCCTGACTCCCCTGGGGAAAAGTGATCACGCCGTCTTATCATTCAGCTTTGTCAGCAAAACGGCGCTACGATATCCTACTAGCAACAAGCGCTGGAACTTCAAACGGTTGAATGTGTTAGCTTTACAGGACTATCTACAACAGGTGGATTGGGATGTTCACCCTCAAATTGAAGTGGATGCTCATTGGGATTTTTTATTGCACACGATCTTATGTGCTACTGAGCATTCAGTTCCTAAAATGGTCCCAAAAAGCTACAAGCAACTTCCAATCATCAAGAACCGCACTCGTCGTTTGCTAAGCCGCAAAAGGCACTGTTGGGCTGAATATAAACGAACTGATAACAACGGCGCGTACAGGCAATACAAACATATAAGGAACATATGCACAAAGGCAATAAGAGAAGACAGGCTTCAGTTCCAGACCAAGCTTATCGATAGATTTGTCTCCAATCCGAAGAGCTTACTCAGTTACGCAGCTTCTCTTCGACAAGGCAAAACTGGAGTTTCCCAACTGCCTGGTCCTAATGGTCCGACCAATAACGACAGTGATGCTGCTAACCTTTTGGCTGAACATTACTCCCGGACATTCCAGCTGACCCACATCAACCATGCTGACGAAAGCTTCACCTGCACCTGTACAGGACTTTCCGAAGTGGACCTGAGTGCTGACATGGTGCTCCGTAAACTGCAGCACCTAAGAAAAGACACTTCTCCTGATCCGGACATGGTTCAATCCGTTGTATTGAGGGAAGCGGCTTCAATCCTGGTGACACTATTTAGCGTGATGTTTGCACACACTCGCTAAGCAGAGGCAAACTACCGGAAATATGGAAGCTGGCCCACATCACACCGATTTTCAAAGGAGGTCAACGCAGTGAACACTAAAGCTACCGACCAGTGGCCCTTCTCTCCATACCTTCAAAAATTATGGAATACCTAGTATTCGACGGCATACTAGAACACTTATCATCCTCAAAGTTCTTCTCGCCTCAACAGCATGGTTTCAGAAAAGGTCATTCTTGTATGACCAACCTGCTGACTGCGGTGGATAGATGGACAACCATCCTTGATCGCAAGGGGAAGATTGACGTCATCTACCTGGACTTCTCCAAAGCTTTTGATAGGGTCAACCATGCGTGTCTTATCAAGAAACTTGGACGATTGGGTGTAAAACCTCCTTTGATTGATTGGCTCTCTTCATATTTAGAAAACCGACACTTTAAGATCAGGGTTAACTTCACTCTCTCTCTCAGGCTATGGAATGTCCTAGTGGGGTCCCCCAGGGTTCAATACTAGGACCTCTTCTCTTCTTGATTTATATTAACGATCTTCCTCAACAAGTTTCATCTGAGTTATTGCTTTTTGCTGATGATGTGAAACTTTGGAGAGAGATACGTAATCATAATGATATACTAGTTTTTCAGGAGGATCTGACCCAACTTCAAAGTTGGGCAGACGACAACGGACTTACCTTCAACACTTCAAAGTGCAAGGTAGTCCATCTGAGACATGTTGCAGACTATAGTTATAACTTAGGTAACTCCCCTCTAGAAGTTTCCCAAGTTGAAAAAGATTTAGGAGTGCTGGTACCCTACGACCTGAAATCGTATGCGAACTGTGACGAAAACGCCTCTCAAGCAAATATTGCACTGGTAACATTGAAGCGCATTTTTGGCCAGTTTGACGGTAGAACCTTCCATATAATCTTCAACAGTTTTATTCGTCCCCATTTAGAATACGGAAACATAGTATTTCCTCCCTCCTTCCAAAAGGATAAGGACACTCTGGAATGTATTGCATATGTAAATCTATTTTTCTACCAAATTACTTAATGACTCACAGTCTTGTTAATCTACACCATTATTATTTCGAAGATCGAAGACGACCCTGAAGCTATATAAACTTCATAAGCTGTTTCTGTGTAAACTTTCGAATATGGCCTCTTTAAGCTGTGGTTATAAGTGTCTGCAGATTCTTTTAGTGATATTCAATATTCTTGTTTTTGTAAGTCAGATGATATATGGTGAAAAGTGTTTTTTTTCTCTTGAAAGGCATGTGGAATTGCTTTAATAGTGATTGGAAGTCTCTCTCAAGTTGCTATTAATAATTATTCTTCTGGAATCGACTCAAATATCAAAGGTCTTATAATCTTCATCATAGTACTCGGATGTTTCCTATTTTTGCTCGGATTTCTTGGATTTTGTGGGGCATGTACTAAAAATACTTGTTGTCTAATCTTGGTAAATTGCTATACTGACTAACTTTGAAAATCAAGTACGCAATTTTGCTGTCAGTAATGGTTGCAGCTGAAATAGCAGCAGGAATAGCAGCAGCTGTGCTAAGAGAAGACGTGAAAACTCAATTCCTATCTTTGGTTAGAAGCTCAGTTTCTGAATATAGCAAGAATCCGGACATTAAGAAATTCCTAGACAAGTTACAACAAGAGGTATGCCACAATTAACTGTTTATTTTTTAGTTTCACTGTTGCGGCTCTGAATCATCAAACGACTACACATCAAGTGGACAAACAATCCCTGATTCATGTAAAAATCCAAACACTAAAGTTACTTATTCAGATGTAAGTTGAAAAGAATTTTGTTCAGTCTTCAAAGTATCCTCTTAAGTTTTTTCTTTTTACAAACGTCTGTGGGATCTGATATTGGATGAAGATCAAATGTCTTATCATTCTAATAAGTCCCTCGTATTAGCTATTTCAAAGATGTTTAGACCGACAGAATGTGTTGAAATAATAACGAACACCGGGAGAGAGAGAATTACAATCACTGTCTTCAGTCAGTCTTCAGTAATAAGGATAGTAGGTTGATGAACCTGTGTTAATCCTGACAGATTTCCTTCCAGTGAAGGTCCAGCTTCTTCTTGAAAATGTTCACTGATGGTGCTGATACCACTTGCTCTGGTAAAGCGTTCCAGTCATTGACCACTCGATGAAAAAAACGGGATCCCACCATTAGTTTGTTAGATCGCGGTTTCCGAACCTTCTTGCTATGACCTCGAAGATTATTAGTGCTGGAGGGAGCAAAAAGATAAGACGTATTAACACCCAGATCATAATTAAAGATACGAAATGTCAGTATAAGGTCACCTCGTATCCTACGATGAGATAAGGGGAAAAGGTTTAGACGTTTTAAACGCTCATCGTAATGGAGTTTAGAAATTAAATAGTAGATTCGTTGACCTATACACTTCAAGATTAAAGTAATTCAAGCCACAGTTAAATCTGATAGTTCATATTCATACCTTCAGACGTTGGGCCCAATATCGTCCATTAACTTGATGAGTATCACACACTGACTTCTTATGGTGATCACAGTTGTAAAGATGTGATTTTTAAGTGAATCATGTATGATCACATGCTTACTACTAGGTCTTTTTTGAATGAGTCTTCAATAAAGAATAATGATTGCGTAGTAGACACAGTTTTCAGTACGACGACAGATATGCTTAGTCGTTATGAATGTGGCTTGACTCATTTTTTCACTTTTTACAGTCATTCATAGATTATTTGAACCAGTAATTTTTGTATTTGACTGATAAACACGTCAAATCACAAATGTTTTCTTCACTTGCTCGCCACTAAAGTATGTTGTTTCTGAGTGAGGTATGGTACAAATATAGCTGACCATTCAAACTGATGACCACCACTTTGAATCCATACTTCATATCACATTATCTCCGGTGTTTTTAAAAACAAAGACCGTGTGCCTAAGATACCATATATCCGATGTTCAAAAGTTTGGACTTGTAACAGCATAAATAGGGTATTTATTTCTTGCAACTTATTCTCTATTTATGTTAAATGTGATAACGTTATTTTGAATTTCAGGGTTGTTCAAACAAAGTTATCTCCTTCTTTGAAAAGTATATTGTTGCCGTTTTAGTAGCGGCATTTGTATTTGCTATCCTCCAATTACTGAGTATTGTTTTCGCTGTCTGTGTTATCCGAGCTATCAAATCTGGCGATTCTGACTAAGATTAAAATGATCAAATGTGTAAACACTATATCTGATTTTTCAAATGCTTTTAACTTGATAAAACTACATTTCTTCTTCCCCATATTTTTAATTTATTGTCATTTATTAAACAAAGAATGGAGTCTTGTATTTTATTCAAAAAAAAACGCATGAATAACTAAGGGTTACTGGATTTAAGATTATGATATTGACCGAAAATATAAAATATAAATCCTTTTCGAGACTTCTCTTTTCATTCATTTTTCTTAGTCGTCAAAAATGAAATATACTGAAACGCTGCTTCTTACCAAATGTGGTGATGCGTCGGTGAAGTGTATAAACACTTTACATTCTACTACTTTTTAACTTCTTATTTGGCAAACTACAAATATAGATGCGATAGGTTTGAACTAGTTCTAAATAAAACAACTTATTGACAAGTAGTTTTAAGATAATGTCAATGATTTTGATAATTTTACTGGTTAAAACTATGATCATCCTCAAGGCGTAGAACTCACTCAAACACATAAGTATTAGGACTGAAACACTAGGACATATTAAATAAACAGGTTTAGATAGAGTGAAAGCAAATCATAGTCCATTAGTTTAAGACCACTTTATATGCCTTACGAGATGAATCTAAGTCTAAATGTTAGACGTCTGTGCATGAAGCCAAATATCTTGTGTTTAATCCCCAGTGGAAGAACACTGCTAAGGAATCACATATCTGGATGAAACAGATGCCGAGTGCTTACTGACTTTCAATAGTTATCTAACTAGAATAAATCTGTGATGATAAAATAGCCGTAGTTATGGATCCCAGTGGTGTCTTTTTATTCCTTAGCTTTAGAAAAATATATGGTGAGCTGCAGTGGTATACAAATATTCGATGCACTTTTTTTATGGTAGTCAGCAGTAAAAATTCGAACCATTATAACTATTCAACTTTATTCATCCAATTAGCCGTGAGAGTCAGTTCAATTATAAGAGATAGTAAACTAAGTCCATTTGGAAATTTCCCTGAAAACTGTGAATCGCAGAACAGATCTTCTGTTCTAGTTTGACTTCTAAAGAATGTTCACACACATACTTATCAAGGATCCAGTTAAAAAACTTATGATGGAGGCATCAATTTGACACAATGGGTTCAAGCCATGTATTTAAATTTTAGTCAACTCATGATAAGATTCACCGATTATTTAAGGTCATAAATGTTTCAATTCTCTCACTACAAAAATGGTTGAACCCAATAATTTATGTCTACTCAACAGAGTTGCCTCAATATATCTCGGCATCAGACATTATTTTACGATTTATTCAGTTGTATAAACATTTCTGGTCATGGTGAAATGTTTTACAATTGCTCATCTTGTTCTAGCTTCCATATATTACTCAGTCTCCTAAAATATTCTTTTGCAGGCATTACGGTGATTTTCTATCTAGCCGCATTTCTCGACATAGTAGTGTTAGAACGTCCGCTGAATTTCTTGATGATCATTTTCTTATTGTCAGTATGGCTTTAAATCAAGTAAAAGGTTAGAAAACATTAGTAAAATTTCCATGGGAAAGTCATTTTGTTTATTGAGATTAGCCAATCTTAGGTTTAGACAGTAATATTTTGGTATGTTTACTGATGTTCAAATACGTCAAAATTAAAGACTTCGAGCCATTTGTATCCTGCTTTACCGTAAATGACATTAAAATCTAAACGGTGTATTTACTAAATACTAGATACCTAAATACTAATAATTCCTTTAACGGCACGCAGTCTAGTCGTAGTCTAATATACGTAATCAATCGGTGTTTTAGATAATGAAATTTTCAAGGATGGAGGATAGCTTCACTGAATGAAATGGTTGTAATTACAGTGAATCAACAGAATACTTTTTATCTTTATCAAATGGATATGGAGGATTCGATTTCTGTCCAAGTTGGCCGTGAAGAAGAATTTTCATCATTTAACATTTTCTCTCTAAGCGTCAGCGATGTTCTAGAGGATTTACGCTGAGGATGTATAAAATTCCACCATAGCTTAGTCTAGAAAAGCGAGATTGTAGTTTTTATTAAAGACTTACTTCAGCTTCGCAGCCATCAGAAACCAAAGAGCATCGTAGAGCTATTTCACCTCAGCAAACCATTCACTCGGAGTATCTGTCATCAGGGATTGAAATCAGGACCTCCAAACATCATGGTGAACGCTTAATCTTTAATTCACTGAGTCATCACTAAATTACTTGTGTTTCTAAATCCAGACAACATCGCAATATTGTGCAACCCTCATCCATCGCCATTAATGAGATACGTTTTACAGTGATGTTGGCCGAACTTCATGGCTTCTCATCAGGTTTCATATGATTTTATCTAGAAGTTATACATTATTAAGTAAATGATGACCTTTTAGCATTGGTGTTTGTGAAAACCATTGGATGATGAGGTTTTACATCCTTATCTTGACTAACCATTATACTATGCTTATCAAGATCCAAGTTGATGATCAGAGTCCAGTGATGAGATGTTAGCTGAATGCATTTAATAAAAAGCGTTAAGCTAATAATTTATCAATCTTTCCTAGTGGTTTTCAAGTGCCATTCATTCTTTTGGTGTCTGCCTCCATTTCATGGCGTATTGTTTATTGGTCTGTTTCTTTCGCTACTTTTTTTCGGATTCCAAGTTAGAGTTTATCTTATTATGTAATTCAGTGGATTCTGCGATATATAGCCTATCCACTCCCAGCGTCTTTCCCTCATTTCCTCTTCAGATGAAAGCTGGTTTGTTCACTCTAATAGTAAGCTGTTGCTGAAGGTATCCAACCAATGGACATTGAGTACCTTGTATAGTCAATCGCTTATAAATGCCCATACGTTTTGATGACGGTCCTGGTAGTTCTCCAAGTTTCATCTCCCTACAGTACAACTGTCTTGACGTTCATATTGAGGATTTCGAATTTGATATTGATTGACAGTTGTTTTGAGTTACATATGTTCATCAAGTGTGGGAATTCTGCCTTTATTTTGTCATTCCTTGCCTTTACGTCTGCATCGGATCGTCCTTGTTCATCGATAATGCTGTCCAGGCAGATATAGGAAAGTTCCCATCTCTTCCTGAGTTTCTCCATCAGGCGCAATTGGGTCGGTGTTCTTCCTGTTGTATCTGGGGTTCTTGGTTTTCTCCTTGTGTATGTTTGACTGGATCTTAAAATTATAACAAAAGAAAAATATGAAACCGGATATTTTCCAGTCGACTGTGTTTGAAAAACAGAGGAAGTAACTGATCTGCATTCTGTTTTGTTTAATTCTATTATGAAATCCAAAGAAATAAGTGAACTTTATTCTTGACCGTCAACTACGACTCCTAACCTCTACACAAATTATAGATTAACAAATACACCGACACAAACCTAATGTGTGAACCTATGTGAAAGAGGTCAATCACTTGAAGGGCCAGGGGTCAACTGACAAAGACAGTCAACATAAGTGCAAGGACAAATGACGACATCAAAACCTACTAAGGTAGCTAATCATAAATAAGGCCATTGGAACATATTAATAAAAATACTTGTGGAATGACTGCAAACACTAGTTCTACATGACAATAAAAGCTCCACAAATAAACCAACTGACTTGGAAAACACAAGAATATTAAAAGATTTATGTTCCCTCATAGAAGTAATGAAGAGTTGAAAACTAGCAATATGACAATTTAGTGTACAAAAAATTCTGGTTCAACCTAGGTTATAAAGCATATAGCTATTGTAGACCATCAAAGTTGATGATCTATGTCGAACGATTGGAGGCCTACTGCCAAATGAGTCAGTCCATGGCGTATGATTAACTGATGTACGATGATTGTCCTTGACCTTGACGGGGATCGATGATCTGTTCGATATTTAGTGACCCAACTATCAAGTGATTTGGCTAGGGTTACCATTCAATTTTCTTTGAAAATAGATATAATTAGTTTATTTCAATGAATTGATAATCAAAGTTTAACATGATTAAGAAAATAGATTCGATCTGTTGCACTTAATTTTAATGGAATAATGTTGAACTTTTGAAGTGACATAACAATAGAAGTAGTAGGTAATGGGTTTACTTCACTGTATAAGAATGTTGTCACAGTATGAAATTTGTGCGAATTAGTGCCTAAACGTTTTTTATTTTTTACATTTAAAATAATAAAATCACTAGTAACCAACTCAATGAAAACGTGATAAACGAATGATTGATTGAACATTAATTTCAAGAATAGGAAGTGTATACGAATTTAATGTGTTGGTGAAAAGTGTTTATTATGAAACAGACTTACTTCCTTACTTACTTACTTACTTACGCCTGTTACCCCTCGTCGAGGAACATAGGCCACCCGCCAGCATTCTCCATCCAACCGTGTCCTCGGCAATCCTTTCCAGTTCTTTCCAGTCAACATTCATCCTTTTCATATCTCCTTCTATTTCCCGGCGGAATATGTTCTTTGGATTCCCTCTTTACCGCTTCCCTTCACCAATACATGTTAGCACCTGCCTCGTGATGCAGTTTGGTGTTTTCCTCAATGTATGTCCGATCCACTTCCAACGTCTTTTCCTAATTTCCTCTCCAGCTGGAAGCTGATTTGTCCTCTCCCATAAAACGCTGTTGCTGATAGTATCCAGCCAGTGAATGTTGAGTATTTTGAGTAAACAACTGTTTATAAATTAGGAAACAGTGTATATCATATTATTGGATCATTGAGACTAGTAGTCACATAGGATTCGATCACCACTATAGGATTAGAAAAAACATGATAATGGTTACTTAACAGCGGTCAATCAATTTTGATATCTTTTAGTCCTATGGAAGAAAACCAGTAGTCCAAATAGCCTCGAATAAGTCAGCGACTCTGATATTGTATGAAGTAAGTTGAAGTCGAATAAGGTGTAAACATTCCAACAAAAATTAATAGGAAACATTACTGGCGAGTTCAAACTAAAAATGTACGTATAGGTTTATAGCTGCATGCTCAAATTCTTAAATTTAATAAGAGAGCATTAAAACTCTTCAAAATCATATTTTGGACACTTCTCAGTAGTCTTAAACTTCCTTTATATCAATGGCTAACTGATGACTATTGATAGTATTCAGTGATTAACAATCTGGAACCTTGGAAAAATGTACCTCAGATCCTAGTGTGATCATGAAGATATGGAATTAAGAAAATAAGTGTGTTAATAAATTATTATTTTTGAATTTTGTCAATTTGGGCTAACG